TTGTAAGTGCATAATTATAAGAAATTGAGTTGATAATCTAATTAATCACTATTATTTACTCTGATGTAGTTTATATATACATATCTCTCTCTCTATTTTTCTCATCTTGTACTTATACTAAACTCCACTTCTTTTCTTTAGTTTTTTCAGATGGCAATAAATCGAATCCTCTCCGTGTCTAATTTTGGGTAAGTGCATTTTTACATACTTTTCATATCTGGGCATGGGTTAAGGTCAGATATATTTCAATTAATACTTCCATAAACATTCAATGTCCATCAAAAACTGAAGGGGGAATGTTGCTGAGAAGAGGGCAGGGTATTTAATTGCGATTACTTTTTGCGCGAAATATCGTTATTCGCGACGAGTTGACAGCGACATTTGGCATTGCAGTTGGCTCCGTTGTAGTTGTTGCTGTTAATAAAAATTTATGATTATTGTTTTCACATTTTTCATGTTGTCAATATTAAAAACATTATTTTTCACGCGAATTGCCGTCAATGGCCGAATATCGCGATGTTGGACAAGGATCGCTCGTCTGTTTTGCAGAAGGGAAATTGTTATTGAAATTCGTTGATGGAATTCGCCCAAAAATAACAGCAGCAACAACAGCAACAACAGCAACAACAATTGCATGTAGAATCCATTCAATCGACTGGCCAGCACTCATAACTCAGCCTCAGCCTGGGCCTGAGCCTCGCAGCCTTAGACTCAACCGTGGAGCAGTGGAGGCGCCATTTGGACGGCTGTACAGGACACAAATCCATTCCATGGTGGCACTGGCATTTTCCACTGGCATTGTTGCGGGATTCGGCACAATTGTCAGGCAATAAATCGATGTGTGTAGGGCTGTAAATTTTTGCGGATGGCCGATGAAAAAGTGCATATTATGCAATTCGACAATACGCCAAACATATCGACCTACGTACGCACCACACACAACCACACACACTCACACTCGCACCCGCTCAGCTGCATTGCAGCGCAAACGGAAACGGAAACGCGCACACAAGTTCAGCCTCTTCTTCATCTTCGACGAACGCTGGACGTTGCGTCCCTCCCCTGTACGACCGATTGCAGTGCTTTGCATATCAATGAAAATGCATAAATTTTTTTTCCTGGCCGCGTTGATTTTTTGCTGCACCCGACGGCTTTCGGGAGCGGGGCTGCGGGGGTGCTACTTGCATTGCCCAAAAACGAAACCGAAACCGTCCATCAAGGAGCATAAATCAGTTTGGGCCGACGCACTGAAAAAAATGGCCACACGCAAGGACCCCACCTACGATTCAGCACAGGATGCTTCACATTTGACAAAAAACGCAACAGCCTCCGCGGCCACGTCCGGTTCCCGTTCCCCTTTCCATGATACGGCCATGCAATGCACTAGCTCAGTTACACACTCACACCCGCACGCCCGTTGATGAAACGTAATCCTCCCGAAAAACTGCACCATGCAAAAACATCGAAAATCCATAAAAATGCATCATAATTTCTTACCACGCCCCACTGGAACTGGATCATCATCATCGCGTTTAACAGCCAAATGGTTGACGCTGAACAAGTTTGAATCCCCACATTTTGTATGCAATGCACTAGGGGTACTCAGGCTGGTGACAATATTCATATTTCGATTGGGAAGTTTACTACTAAATTGATATAATTATATAATATATTATCTTATACATTTTCATTAATTTCGTATTTTCCCGCTTATGTCTTCATAATTACTTAAAATTCTTCTCATATTTCACTTCGAAAATGTTAAATTATTCCCAAAGCTTCCTTAAAAACAAAGGCCGTGGTTCAATTATGTTTTCTTCTATTTCATTATTCTATTCGACTTTTCTATTTTACTAAACCAGTTTATAGTTGCCCCTTTTTTCATTTATTCGATGTGGGCTAGATTCGATCTCCACCCAAATTTGACGTCTGACAAATATGGTATAAAGGCGGGGAGTGTGTTTTTTATCCTTTGGATCTGGGACCTGAATTTTTAAAAAAAAGCTAATAATTAATCATTTTAGAGATCCTTAACCCGTTCGGCCAATTCTGTTATCAGCTTATGCGTGATTCGTACATCGATTTGTTGAGCTCTAGTCATGTCTAATATTAAGTATATCTTTATTATATTTCTCTGCCCACTTTTGACTAACCCAGATGCACTATTTACCTGCCTGTGCCCGAATTTTTCAACATCCTGCGGAACTGATGGCCATCAAAGCCCGCTGCGTGACTGTGCAAGGGCTGAGCTGTTGAGTGCATGCGCGGCCCACCGGAGCAACGCAGTTGACGCATGTCCTTGTGCGAATGTCCTGGCCGCATGTTAATAGATTTGCATTGGATCTGGTGCTGGTTCAAGTTGTGGTCCTGGTCGTGGTCCTGGCCTGTGAGCTGCACGGGAATAACGTAGCGTATTCCATACGCCACTAGCTGTGGCATCTTTTCCGCGCGACTGCATATAATCACTGGCTGCCCGCCCACGCCCTCCCGCTCACACGCCCATTTTGGGGCAGCTCTTTGTTTTCCTTAACGAATGGGCAACCGTAAATTTTGCTTCATTCATTCGTAGGATGCGTCGAGAGGTATTCAGAGGGCTCATTCCCGCCCCTTGTTTCGGCCGCGACGCAGTTTTCACTGTGCGCATCTGAGTGCATTCGATGCGATATGTTGCCGCTGTCCACATGTCATCCTTGCATTTATTTATTGAATTATGACTTTGCCGCTGGCCAAAAGGTAAAACAGGCTTCTGCCAACAAAGAGTTATGGCTTGTAAGCGAGCCAAGCCACCATTCGATGCTTTAATGCTGATTGATAATTGTAAACCTGCTGCCGAAATGTACTGCATTTGCTCTTCAGGCAAAAATGTGCAACTTTTCTCTTTTTTTCTGGCATAACGGGGTTTTGTTTAATTTATTTATGTTTATTCACAGCATTATTTTCATCTTTCACAAAATGTTTGGGCAATTTTTAACCAGCCTCATTTTTATATGGTTACTAAATAACTGGCAATATTCAAAACTAATAGAAACTAACAGGCGTTGCTCATTTTTATAAGTTTTAAAGTTTAAATTAAGCTATCAATGCGTTTTCACTTTAGTAATATAGACGGAATTAGATCTAGGGGTCTTTAAACATGGTTAAAGTGTCACATGTGCCATCATTTAGAGTAATTACATATTTATATAATAATATATCTTATTTTATAAATAGTTGGTTCACTTAAAAAAGATTCAAGTTTTTTAACCAAGTAGAAAAAGTGAACACAAATATAAACTAAACAATAGAATATTAAACTTTTCTTCTCCTTTTATTTTATTGTATTTGAACTGAGTTTTGTAAGGGGTTAAATGCTGTAGCCGATCTACCTCTCACACCCTTTCGCTGATGTCTCTAATGAAATAGATGTGCACATAATTATTTGTCTTTGTCTTGAATCTTCATTAGTATCACATTCGGCTTGTTTGGCTTTGGCCTGAAGTGAGCTACTTAACCACGACAACCACTACACTACACAGACCACGACAACGACGACGGCAAGGTAGCACAAAGGGGAATCCGGCGTAGTTTCTAAGATTTTACCAGCTGGCAAATATTTGAGTACGTAAGACGTCGGCGTTGCCTTTTAATTGTTTCTAATTTCCATGTTGACACTTGAGCTGCAGCCAGCCGCACAGCCGCACAACTGCACCCTGTGTACCGGGAGCTGTATCAAAACAGTCGCTATCTGGTGTTGACAGATCCCGTGGAGGCGGCTTCTAAGCCCGTTAGCCGCTTACCGGGGCTTACTTTCTACTAGCCCCAACACCCCTGGCTGGCGTTTGATGTTAAGAAATGCCGCACACGACATGCATCCACATTCTAATTAGGAATATGTGAAATTTTTTACTTCTAGTCCCCAACCCTGTGCGGCGACTCTTTGAGCTGCTTTTAGATTCTTTGGTTTTTGCCGAAAATTTACGACTTTTCATTAGGCATTCGCTTAACCTGTTGACTCGAGGCGCAAACAAAAGCAGCTGCTACGCAATTCAAGCACGTCGCCGTCTTTATATCTAGTTTTTTCTTCTATTACATATATATTCAACAGCGCATCAGATCTATTTGTCTGCTTACTACCCAATTTCAGTACGTTTAATAAACGGTCACGCATGTATGTATATTATTCCAAGAGAAGCTACCAGTGAAGGGTAATTATATAACTAAGCGAAAAGCGCAGTTGTTGAAGGATTAGCACTGATCAAAAAATTGATATATTCCATCTTTTGAAGCTACAAGCTTAAAGCTTGGAATATATAATCGCAACAGATAAGCTGTTAGGTTTATATATCCACGCTATATGCGGAATAAAAATTTCTTATGCAATCATGTGAGCGATCGATCGGAAAGATCAATCAATATCTCTTTATAAATATGAATAAAGGGCTGAGCGAGTATTACGCAGTCGGGTGCAACCGAATTGTTTTGCTTAAGCTGGCGGATAAACTTTTTAATATTAAATAAACTCAGTCCATTTTATGAACTGTGGTCTCTATATATACCCTACCTGCATATTATAGCTGATATACCTTTTACGGTTTTTGCAATAACTCTTCTTTTTGCACATGCGTATTTCAATTTAGAACTCAAACTAGTTAAAATATAATTAGTCTAATGTTTTCAATGGCTGGGCATATGAAATAAATAATCATTTAATTGCCGTTGCACATTTAATTGGGTAACCGAATAACCGAAACCAACAAGTCGATTTAAAGTCCAATAAAAGCCCACATAAATATTCAAAATATGGGCAGCTCATCATGAGCTTCAATTCGACGTGACCCGCTGCCCGCTGCTGGAACTGCGATACGGTTCACTTGGGCTCTATTGTATTATTTGGATATTTTTGATATTTGTCACAGTTTGATGCACAGATAAGACCCCAAGGCGTTCCATGCGCTGCCCAAAACCAATGCCGCATTTTGACCAGATTAGTCGAAAGCCCGCGCCGTATCGGTTTGATTATTGCGAAGAGCCCAAAAATGAGTAGCCCCTGCCGCGTAATACGCGCCTCGAATTATCTGCTGCTGCTCACAGGATACCAGATGCACTGGTTTGACGCCCAGCAGCAGCGCTATCGGATCACTCTGCCCGGTGTGGTCAATGTCTTTGTGCTGGCCTGCGTCTATGCCGGCTGCTTTGCCCAGCACTTTCAGCCTTCGGCGCTGCTGAAGACGCTGCAGGATGTGTCGCCTTTTCTATACGACCTAACCCGGCTACAGCTCGTGCTGAGCATCAAGGTGTTTAGCTACGCCATTTACGCCTCTGTGCGTGCTGTAGGCGTGGCAAGTGCACTGACGGCCTCGTTGCCCCTGAAGAGCTCGCCGGGACGTCGCCGTGTCAAAAATGAGTTCCTCGCCTATGGTCTACTATGCTCCACGTTCGTGGTGCTACTCTGCTTTGGCATGTACATCGGGTACGAGCTGGAGTTCAAGCTGCCGCCGCTTAAGGATATCATGATCGGGTCAGCTCTGTTCCTGCCTCATCTTGTGCTTGCCGGTGCCATGCGATTCTACAGCATATTTGCCTGGCTAGCGCGTGATCGCCTGCAGCAGCTACAGGCGGAAGTGGACGAGCTGCTGACCATTGGCCAAATGAGAACTGAAATGCAGCTGGTGCCAGGCACCAGTTCCGTACCTGTAGCTGTAACGCCCTCCAGCATGGACAGCCTGCTCAGCCAGTGCGAGCAGCTGCAGCAGCTGGCAACGAATTTTGGCCACTTGTTTGAGTCCCTGGAGCACTCTCTGCTGCTGCTGCTGGGTATCAATGCCAATTGTTTGCTCTTTGGCTGTTACGCCTTTGTCTACTACAGCAGCACATGGTATGTGCTCTTCGATGATCGCAGGCAACGCATCTTCTATGCCGGCAACGCCTCCATCTATGCCTGCATTGGCTGTGACTACGCGTGTTTGCTGCTGGCGCAGACCCTGCTCGAGCAACAGGTGGGTATTGCCTCATCTGATCTAAGAGATATTTGGCGTGACACCAAACCTAAGAACGGTTACAAGTTTCGGCTTATAAAACTGATTAGAAGAAGCGCACTTTGCTTACAAATATGTATACTAAGAGGAAAAAACTTTAACTTAGAGCCAAACTCTTTTTAAAGAACTATACTTCGGTGCAGGCTTAGGTTTGGCTGTTATTTATCCACCTGATCCGATTCAAGGTTCGCTTTATGGTAAAAAAAAACAATTGGAAATCCGGGCTCAAGCTGGTTTGGTTATTCTTCTTGCAGAGCATTCAGTTCTCGGAGAGACTGAGCACAGCTCTTGGCCAAAGAACTGTCCTGCCCAAGCGAATGCGTCGCATTGCCAAGGATATGCGCGCCATTTTATCGAACTGCTTTCGGTTTAAGTTCCTCTCGATCTGGCGCTTTGATGTGGCCAACTTTACACTGGTGGGTAACAAATAATTTGTATAAAATTTAGCTTTTACGCTACATGCTTTCTTTGCCTTGCAGCTGCAATTGCTTCAGCTGCTAATTATAGCGCTGATTGTGATATATCATTATCTGAACGATGCTATTCAGCTGGCAAACGAACGTTTTGATAGCAACAACGATGAATAATGTAGATGTGAACATAAGACATTAGCTAACTACCTGTATGTCGTGTGCTTTAACTATTATATTTTCGGTTAGTTTCCAGTTCGAGTTTCCACTCTGCCCATGAGAACTCATCTAAATTATCTGTATATGAAAACTTAATCTATAAATTTATTCGTTGCCCGAGCAACGAAGCTGGCCACAAATCACGATTAAGTTTCTAATAAAATTGTTCCCCAATCAAACTAAAATTTTCTCCTGCCTGGCTTGTTGTCTCTCCTGGAGATGGCACTTTTTTCGTTACAACAAATATCGTGTCACGTTGTCTAAAAGGAAAGTACCATTAAGCTTTCTCTTAACCAAAGTTGGGCCTTGACTGTATCGAAAAATAATGCTTAAAATGATATGAAATAGGTAAAATATATTTGTATTAAATATTTGGTATTATTATACAAAGGTTTCAAACTCCGATTTTATTCAGTTAACGATATTTCAAACATTTTAAATAAAAAAGAAGTTCTAGCTGAATAAACATATGATTCAATGTTATGTTGATATCCGCTTTTTTTTTTTTGGAAAGTACATTTTCATCTCTAAGACTTATGCCTGCTCATTTCCGGCTAAAACATCTGGATTTCTTATGTAGAAGGTACTCAGGACAGAAATTCAACAAACATAAAACGGGTTTTTCATAAAGTTCTCACTCAGTCAGTGGGCGAGGGAGCACTTTCTGGTGGCAGGGATAAGAACATGCAACGCCGGCAAATGAACATAATTTGTGTTAGGAAATCTACATAAAATTTACTGTGACTCCCCCCACAAGCTGGCAACAGTAAGGCTTCCTCCACATGCACACACACTGAACACGCGCCAGGACCATGCAACAGTGGAGTTGCTGATGAGCAGATAAATTCATTAGGCAAAACCATGTAATTGTTCCACCAGGACAACGGGAAAGGCGACGCGACAGTGAGCCCCGATGGCGGGCTAAGACGGGTGCTAAAGCCAAACAAACAACAGCAGCGCCAGCCAGGCAAGGATATGCGGCCAGTTGGCCCAGCTGGCAGCAGTGCAACACGAGGCAACCAGGCAACCAGGCAGCCCAGCAGCCCAGGCAGATCTTAAGTTTTGCGGGGCCGTCGGCCGTTGAATCAGAGGGGGAGGCACGTGCCGGCAGCTGGCTAGGAAGGTGCTGGCATGCGAAGCGTTACTAAATACAAATTAAACAAATCCATAAATAATGTTTAATAATATTAACAAGGATATTAGCAGAAACCACACACACGCACACACACTCACGCACACACACACTCATAGCAATCAGTGTGACTGCCGGGAAATGCACATTTTGTGGTTGTGACTCGGCTGGGCTTACGACTAGACGTCGACTTGTGTACTGCCTAAGGATACACGGGTGCTAAGACCACCTGGGATTAAAGTGGAAGAATTGGCTATCAATCGCAGCTCCATCAGCCACTCGATCTTCAGCTTGTACACCGACATACATAAACTACACTTCTGACCTTGGCCACTCGTGTAGGGCATATAATAATTTTATTAGTGTAAACTCATAAAGTATAGGATTTATATTATTGATCAGTATAAGCAGACGATTCGATGTAACCATGCTTGTCTGTTTGATTCGAATTCTTACTAATCAATTACGAGTTATACTATTTCCAAACATATTTGCCAAACGGAATAGGAGAACTATATTATACGGCTTCTATTGGGACAATCAGTCCTAAATTAAGCTTTGGGAAGTATTTGTACAACAGTCTTCGATTAAATTAGATCATAATTAAAAGAAATCCCGAATTCGATATCGTTTTTAAAGGGGCACGAAGAAATTTTTCTATATAATAACCAACAAGTTATAAAAGTGAGCTGGTTGTCTATAGAGCTATTTTAAGAACCCGAAGTGCTGGGTTTGCTAGATCTTGTCACAACTTAGAACCCATTGAGAATTATAAGGAAGGCAAATAAATTATAGCTATTCATTTATTTTTTAAATTAATCATAACATAAATAATATTGAACACATTCGTTTATCCATATAGAAAAGTTTTCGGAAATTTTAGCTTAAACATAAAATGAATGCTTTTTTTCTATATATGCTCCAAAGCTTTGTTTTGCATTAATAGCTAAAATATAGGATTATCAACTTATACGGTCATTTAAAAAAAAAACACAAATTGAACTCAACGAATTAGTAAGGGATTAGTAATGTTTTTCAACAATTAATGTGTGAAAAGCTTAGTAAATAAAAAATTGTGTGCTAGAAATATCTTTCATTCAATTTATATTTCGATTATTCAGGAACTTTTTCTCTGATTTTAATCTCTTCTTCTCTTAGCGATTTTTCTGTTTACCTCTAGAAGTCTTTCTGTCTGGCACTTGCGCTTTTTTATCGGTGGTTCCCTACCTCTCAGTCGTTTCTTTGAATTCGGATTATGTTCGATATTATCGCTAGGCATATCCATCGAGGAGGAGCTCAGCTCCGAGGTGTGTGTGCTGGAGCCGTAGCTAGACGAATCACTGTCTGAGAATGAACTGCTGCTGCTGAACCTACGCCCCTTGCGTGGAGCACGTGGGACATTCTTCCTGCTGGGCCTATAGCCACCTTTTTTGGGCATATAGGATACTTCTCTTTGGGCTGCTTTTAGCTTTCGGTAGAGCTTGCGCTTGCAGGCAGGTGACAGTGTTGTCGCAGACGAAGAGCTCGTCGAGTTGGTTGTGGATGAGTAATCGGGCGTGCTGCTGCTGCTGCTGGGACTGGGGCTGCTATATTGGAGTCTCACCTGTCTGCCCGGTTCATTTGGCCATCGGCAGCGTTCGTTTGGGTTTGAGCTATAGCCGGGCCCACGATTCTTGTAGAGCCGCGTTGCCAGAAGGGGCGAGCGTTCCTTAAGTTGATCATCGGGCAGCTCGTGCTGATGCGTGTAGTATGGATCGGTGTCTAAGTCATTGAATTCCACCCAGGGCTGATGCTTGTGACGGCGCGCAACCGAGTTGCCCACTTTATAGCCAGCCTGTCGCATCATCTTCTTGAGACTTTGCAAATTGCTCTGAAAGGAGCTTTCAAGTTCTGGCCCAAGCTCCGGCGGATAGCCAAGCCAATCTGGCGGAGGCGGCAGCGGCAGCTCACTATAAATATGATTGGCCATGGTGTCATACAAGGAAGACGCCACTGGCAAGTTAACGCGTTCGAACATGACATAGTTGCCCAGATCTGTGCATCTCGGATGCCTGAAGCGGCAGCTGTTGCCCCAAGTGCAGCTATTGCGCTGATGGAAACGGCAAACGGGCAATAGCTCCTCGTCATCGTCAACCTCGCCATCCTCCAGTTCGGACTGTGTCCGTGGGGCCGCTGGCTTCTTGCTGTTCCTCCTACTAATGTCAGGTTGATCTTTTCTGATGCCAACCTGCTCCTTTCCAGCTTTCTCCAGCTTCAGTTGCAATGACGTTTTGTCAGACAAGCCTAATGAAGGAGGTGTCTGGCAGAGAAATTCCTTTTTAATCACGCGTATATCACGCGTCTTGATATTCGTCGACTGAGGTTCCACTTTAACAGTTTGCTTCGGCTTATCTCTAGGAGTCGACATCATTTTGATATGGCTCAATAAGGCCTGTAAACAGCCAGTACTCAAATTGACAAACTCAAACTTGCACTGCAAATAATTAGAGGGAAACGTATCTACTCGATACTAATGAGTTGCATCTGATTTGTTATCGATGCTCGATAAGCCGATGCTGCAACGTTGCCAGAAAGCTTTATTGATCAAATTAAATGTTTAGTAACTCCAATTAGCCAATTAATTCAAGCTTTAAATATTTATAAATACATGCATAAATGTTTCTATTATTCTTCTATTCTATCTCTTTCGCAAATTTACAACAGTCATAATAATCATGAACCTATCATTGCGGACATAGTAAGCCACATAAATAATAAAGTCAATTACATTACTTAAATAAACATATAGAAAAATTTGTATAATGTCAAAATTAGAGCAAATGAATTTGATGCTTAGAAAATCCGTGTACATGACTGTGTCCCACTTGCGAGATATACTGATACTTCCTCTTGACACACTAGTATTGGTGACAACAACAATTTTGCTGAAGATATTTCAAAAAGTTTTCCTCTGTTTCATCGGAGTATATAAGGATGTGGACACAGCACTCCGAGAAGCAGAGGGAATCGTGCGAAGCGTTTGGAATGCCTGCATTAAATTGTTTGTTGTCCTACTAGACGATTTTTTCATTGTATCGAGAGCTGAATTCGGATATGTGGACATACAGTAAATCATATAAATGAAAAATAATAATAAAAAAAAGTAATAGCAACAGTTACCTAATTCGCAGTGTGTCAAGTAAGAACCGAAACCTGTTTTAAGCCACATCAATGTTTCTTTGTTTATGAACGTTTCTTCAATTTTCCGTAGATCATTGTGTATAACGTGGCGTATACTTATTTGTATCCTCATTGTGTATTGCCAGCAAATAATAAAGGGTTTCACAATTCCTTATTGGGATAACAAACGCAATATGTTACCTAAGTACTACATTTAAATGCATATTAAAAAGCATGCGGCTGGCTTGCAAATTAGAGGCCCTCGGGCAACTCCATGGCTGCGGCCCGTGACCGTGACTTCCCTGCCCCGAACGCGTCCAGCATCAATTTCCGCAAAATTGCGCCACTAAATTACCATAACGGGGCGGCAATCCTGTGCCTTCAGCCCGGCGTATAAGACGAGCGAAAACTAACGGAAACATATTACGCCAACTTGAGAAACCAAACAAAAAGGCGACAAGTGAGAGATGCGGCCAAAGACGAGACAGGGCCAGCAGCGACAAGGCGAGACAAACGCCGAACCCCAAAAAACAAATGGGGGAAAAAAAAAACACCAAATAACCAAAAACAAAAGAAAAGGGAGCAGCGCGAAAAACGCAAACATCAGCAATGCGGCAGCCATTGGTGCTACCTGTTCCCTGTGCCCGAACCTCAGCTTGAGCTCCAGCCCCAGCTCCAGCTTCGAACCGGGTTCTTCAGTTTGTCCCACAGGACTTGTAAATAGCAACACGCAAACAAGTTAAAAAGTTCTGCTGTTGTTCTTCGGTTCGCTTCTTTATGCTTCGCCTGGCTCGGGCCCAACATAATCGTTTCTCATTTCAATGGCGGGGGCAACCGACCCTGAGCCCACTTTCTGCTTCAGTTCCATCGCCTGCTTCTGCTGCAGCTCACCTTTTGTGCTGGCCCGCAATTTAGTTTTGAGCGTAATTTCTTTTAATAGCGCCAGTCGACAGATAAAATTCACCACACCCAAACACACACACACACACACGGACACTGACGTCTGCGTCTTGTAGATGTCTCGCGCCCAGTTAGAGCATTTGTCGAGGTGCTGAGGTCAAGGGGTGAGCGGGCGGGCGTGCGCTTCGCTGGCGGATATCGCAAGTAAATTGCTTAATTTTGGCCATGCCTTAGACTCACCCCCCTCCTGGATCAAGGCTTGGTCAGGGGGCAGTACCTGGCAGAGGCATCTCTTAGGCCCTGCTACTTGTTTTGTTTTATTGGGCCTTGGGGTTGCAGCTGCTAGTGTTGGGTCTTCGGTCTTCGCTTGAGGTTGACGTTTTCGGGCATGACGATTTCATTTGCATTTTATGATAATTGAACTTCATAAATATGTCACGGCAGCATCTTAAAAGTGCCAACGGTAAGTACACACACCGTTTGTTGCCAGAGATAAATGCTTTGGCTGCCAGGATCCCATTGTCCTCGCCCCCGTAACGTTGGCGGCATGTGCTTCATAATTATTTTGAAGTGTTGTCGTTAATTTGAAATACTTATGGGCGGCACGGGCCGGACCATAAACTGCTAAACAAAACTGGATTACGATTACATTTTAAATATGCTAAATATATGTAGCATCCGTATGTATAACCAGGCTCGAGGCTGCTCTTACAGATGATTATGATGATGATGATGGCCATGCCTGGAATATAATCAGTATATAGTAAGTGGCAATAGTCAGGTTGGATGTTAGTGTTCCAACGAAAGCCTTATCAGGAAAGAATTGGGATACCAAACTGACGTTGGCAAGATGTGGGCTTTCTCATTTTATTTTAAGTGCATTAAAAGTAAAAGTAAGGTATCTACCCCATAATCAGAATGTTTACAGGACTGCAGACCTTAAAAAAATGGTTGGTGACTCGGTTCATGGTCTAAACCAGCAAAGCAGCTATGCTTTTTTAATTTTAATACAAATATTCAGTTTATTTACAATTATTTCCAATAAGATCGAAAAAATTACAAGCCGTTAATTTGATTTCTAATTTGTCATTAACAATAAGGTTAAACAAAATTAAATCCCAGATGGGTTAAACTTCGGAACTGGATATAAGGGCTCATATTATTTATGAGACTGGGTTCCAAGTCTTCTCGAAATGTTTTTCTTTTCCATCGAACGTTTTTTCGATTTTTTTCATTATAATTAAAATAAATTAGATTTAAGGCTGGTTTTCAGCCCCGGGCTTCTACTGGTTAAATCCAAAAACTGCTAATTGCTAAGTTAGTTGCATCCGAATGCAATTATCCGGATTTAATTTAGAGTTTATTTCTTTATTTTTTACAATAATTTTCCCCAAGAGGTATGTTAATTATTCTATCGCTTACATTTTTGCTGCTGTATGCGGAAGTATTTCCAAGCGTCAATCATTTAGTCGCCCCACAACTAAATCCTAAGCCAGTCGAGTCAAAGCCGTTTAACACCTCATTAGAATCAGGACTCATCTACATTCCAGCGCAGAATCACCCATCCATCCGTCTTAAGTGTGAGGTCACAACAGCAGCAACTACAACTATTCGGCGGCGCCATGAATAAAGTCAGGCATAAACAGGATATATGGCCACAAATCCCAGCGCCTTGCAGCGACAATGAATATTAATGAGATGTCATCAGTCTTTCGTCAAATTAAAACGCACAGCAGAACGCAACGGCCCAGAACGGGAGGACTGCGACTCCGGCTTCGACTCGAGACTCAGGCGGAGCGAGTCAGAGCAGAGCTTGTTGCTGGCGCACATCCTGCGGTAACTTTTCTAATTGTTGCCAACACACAACACGAATAAATCAGCCGGAAAACAGGCAGCCGCTGACGTTGGAAGGGTGCGATAGTCAAATATCTTCGTCTCCGACTCTGCCCCGTCGCCCGGTCAGATGCTGCTTGGTCGTAAGGAATTTTCGGCAATTTGTTTTGCACTAGTTGAGTATTCCATCAGCCGGCAAGGTGGTTGCTGGGCAAATCTCAACCCTTGAGCGTCACCTTAGCCGTCATACGTCAGCGTACTATCATCACGCTTGTTTACACGCATAATTATGTGTGCCGGATTCCGGGAATTCCACTCCCGTTGCCGCCGGCGACAATACCGCAAGTCAGCCGACATTGTTGCCTCCTCGCCGTGACATGCCGCCCCCCTCCTATGAACAGAGCATATCCAAGGAGCCAAAGCGCTTCTGGCTACGTCTTGCGGTTCTGCCGGCTGCCTCAAGCGATTTAATGCCTCGTGACAGATTTCTCACTTGAACCCAAAATGACGGGCCGTGTCACAATTTGATGCTGATAATATGTTAATGAGGTTTGTTTATTTGATTCATATTCCCCTTGTCAGCTTGAAGCAACTTTGGGGCCAAGTTTACAGCTGAGTCTGCTCAGGTCTCCCAGCACTTGTTGTTTATTTAAATCCAGCTTAAGTGGAAGTTAATCGCAGCTTTTGGACTTACACCACAGACATAATTGCATCAGTTGCTTGTGGCTCAATCTTATTTATAACAAAACATTAAGTTGGCTTAGAGTGTTATTGAGAGTTTTTTATTCCGATTTTCGCTGGCTATGTGAAGGCCCCTTAAGGTTAGTTCAGATATCCACCCTTTTTCCGACCGTGCGAGCGATGTTAATTAAATAAAATTTAAATTAAAAATTAAAAATGTTAACTCTGATTAAGCCCAAGAAAGAAATTTCAAAATTGTGTTAACCTTGAATATTCTGTCAAATACTGCAAAAGTTTATATGAGTGCTTCGGTTTAATAAGAACCGAATAACGGAAAGAAATCATCAAAATTTCATTTATCAAACTAAATCGTAATTTATTTTCAAAAAAAAAAGTAAGCCCATTATATTAGTCATATTTTCGCTCGGATTCACTGAACTGCTCGACTTTTGCAGTTACCATGATACGCCTTAAGCAAATCGAACCAGCCCAGGTCGAGGTACGCGCCAAGGACGAGGTTCGAGCCAGTTTCATCGTGTTTGCCGTGCTCTGTGCTACCATTAGACTGGCCCCATATTTGCTACGCAAGCTGTCTTCCTAGTTAGATGTACCCAATCGCTGTAGCCACAGCTTGTCCCCTAAACCCAATCACGACAAAGAGTCTGCTATAAACAAAAAATAAATTTAACTTAACATGCAAATAAATTAAAGAAAGCCTTAGCTGTAAATTAACCATTGTTCATCTAATCAATGTTTGCATAACTTATTTCAAGAGGAAATAAAGTGCATTGGGTCGAATCGCCCTGTTCATTTAAATAAATCAAAATATATATTCCAAAAGGAGAGTATCGCTTTGATAGCTCGTCTCTTATTCAACATTGGCGTATACCAGTATTTCATGTCTCGATTTATCTTCTGAGTACAATTCGAAATTGGATTAATTTTCAAGCACTTGCCTCTAGTTTCTAGCCTTGTCTGTCCAAATGTGTATACTAACCGGTATTATATTTTATTATTATTAATAGTGTTATTCCTTTAGCAAATATAATTATTATCATGAAGCTCATTATTCTTATATTATTATTATTTTTCTATATATATTATTATTATATTTATGAATAACTTTATTGATTATTAATTTTCTATTATTTTTATTGTCATTATTGTTATTAATCCCTATAATTATAAGATGCATCAGTCATTTTATACTCTCAATAGTCAATAGAATTTCTTATAACATATTTGTATGTTTATTGATTGTTCTATATAGCTGAAGCACTGATTTTAATTTTCCTCTAATATTCCATATGCCATAGAAAATATTTGGGCGCAGTTGTGCAGTTATGAGCTGGGCCCACTTTCTATTCGTGCGAAGGGGAGTGAAGCGGGCTGAGGTGGTGTGGCCTTATAGCCCCATTAGTCGTTGCTGATTCTGGCGTACATTATTTCTGGCACGGCACGTGTTTGAACCACAAACAGATGAATTTCTGCAGTGGAGAAGCGACGACGAATTATGAGCCACTCAGCGCACTTGCGCGTTCCAAAGGAGCAGTGAGTAGGTCGGGATGGGAGCACGGCTGTGCTGGGCTGGGTTGGTTAGATGGACTCCTAGGCCAGGAGGCTGTGCGCCAGCTCGCTCGCTCGCTCGCTCGCTTCCAACAACTGCAATTCGTCCTCGGGGTCTTTTTTGTGTTAATAATAAATAAACGTGGCTTGGCTAGAGGCGGGCACGCTGCAGGCAGCAGGGCGCAGGGCGCACCTTTGTGCTTGTGTTTTGGA